AAACAAACAAACAAACATTATTCTTGAGACCTTAAGGTTTTGATAATATTATTGAACATTTAATATTTATTTGGCTTCTTAATAAGTTATACATTATTTATGAAACACTGAATTTATTGTCTCTTCTAATTTATATTGTATTATTTTTTGGCCCTTAAGACTCATTCTTCCCCCAAGATGCTTAGATATTTTTCTTAAAACCTAGCAACTTAAGATTGTTATTTAGACATTGTTAATCACAATTTAAGATTCATTTTAACACCTAGTTAGTTAGACATTCTTCTTCAAATCTTAACCCACATTTAGATCCCCATCTCCAAATAAGTAAGATATTTTTATTGAAAATTTAGTATTCACCCCTTAATTCTTACACATTATTCTTGAAATATTACGATTAATTTTAGTCCAAGTAAATTCTACATGTTATTGAAACGCTATAATTCACCCTGACTCCTAATTATTTGCCTGTACAGACTACGATATTATTATTGAAACCTTAAGGTTCATTCTGCTCCTCTTAAGATATACATTAAAATTGACAATAAATCGGGAAGCTATCCAAAACTTCTGCCTATTTTGTCTATTCTCCTGTTACCGTATTTTTTTTTTATTTTACTCGTGGCAGGTGTTCAGGTGTGAAAGGAAATAAACTTTCCTCAATTGGGGTGTTCTGTTAACTCTTGTATTATTGAATTTGAAAAAAAAAACACTTAAGTATATGACATTTTCCACAAGTCGAAGAACTTATGACCACGAGGAAGAGTTAATCACTGAGAGGAGACTGTTGCCCGAGGAAGTAGTTGGGTATCAGAGAAGTTCTCTCCTGGACCTCAAAGTTTAGCCAATGCTTTAAATGAGGATCTATGACTTCTTTCGGGGTGAGGCCACAGACTCAATAAGAAGATATGCTGGAACCTGGTGAATCAAAAATGGCTGATCGAATTCTTCCTCTGAGGATCAGTCTAAGTTCACAGGAGGCATGGATGAAAGGAGATCTTCTTAGAGGTGTATGGTCTAGCGAGACAAAGATGAAATTGGATCTATAGGACTTCCAAACATGTACTATCTAGAATAACCTAATTCCAGCTTTGGTCAAGACCATCTGAGACCAGTTGCAAGTTACTGGAGGCACTTCTGGTGGCGGAAGTCTGCCAGTCCATGTTATTTTTACAGCAAATAAAACAGTGGACATCAACTGAGCGGTCGTGATACTTTACATGATGGAAGGTAAGTTACCAAAGTAACCAAGTGGTACAAAATTTTGACATAGTGTGGAACTGAGATATTCATTAGAAAGTTATGTTTCACTGAGAGGATGATCACTTATGTGAATGATCTGCTCCTTTTTCATGAGAAGTTGCACCCTGTAATGGCTTCGGTTGATCATGAGGATATCCTTAAAGACAAATATACAGAGAGACTACTTGACGAGGCTATAAGGCATTACTTAGGTGTGTTAGACGTTCTCACCATAATGAAGACAGTTTTTGTGGTGACTAGGTTCACAATTTTGATTTTTAATAAGCTGTTATACAGGAAGAAGCCTACAGTGGCAGCTACAGCATATGTAGCTCAGATAGACTGCTCTCTGTAGGTGGCTGCACGATGCTAGGCTCGAGCTTTGCTAGGAACAAACCTGAAGCTAATTCATCCTAACACTGTAACAGAGCTCCACTGATTCCCAATAAGTGGTTAGAGCTTCCATTGATCTCCCATGGTGTCTGTGTCATAGCAAATGCCAATAATGCATCTCATGCATTGCTTTGTAGCAAGGTAGGGAAAGCTGTTGGTTTTCCCCAACTGCAAGAGATAATCTGCTTCTACTTTAGTTCTGGAAGCTAATGGAGCTAAAGTCGTATTTGGCCAGTGGTTTGAGTGAGTGAATTGGAAGGTTTATGCCCAGAAGTTTAGTGATTAGTTCAGCCCTCTGAGAGTTGGGTGAAGATTTGAATGTGCCTGTGAAGATAAGGGGGTGAGAGATAGAGTTTATATTTAAATCAGGAGCTGGCAGAACACAAATTGATCTGTCTATGCATCAGGCACTCCAGCCAGTTAAGAGTGATTTCACTCTGGTGAATGGTGATAAACGAGGTGTGAACAGAGGGCTATGTCCCTGACTATATCTAATATATGTTAGAAAGGTAGCTGTTTCTGACCTTGGTTCTGAAAAAAGAAATCCTAGAGATGGATGCACCGAGAAAATTATCACTGAGTTTTGACTATGCAAGAAGAGAACTGCACTTCTAGAGAAATGTCATCTGATGCTGGGCAGACAAGACATAGGAGTAGTGAACTGCATGAATGTATGTTGCAGAGAAGTCACAGAGTGACATCGTTTCAGTTTACAAAAGTGGTGTTCCATGGTATACTATAGATGAGGTATAGTGCCTTGGTGCCATCTAATGTGGTGCTAGAGCAATGTATGAAATGCACTCTTTCCTGTCCAGAAAGCTGGAAGCATCAGCTCAAACAGTATTCTGGCAAAGAAGGATGAAATTTTAGTATTACTCTGTGATTATGGTCAGCCAGCAATCTAGCTTCCTGCTGGAATAATCATTGGCAAGGTGAGAAAAATCGAGATAATCAAAACTATCATTGTCACTAATGTTGCTTCTTTTGTGTCATGTCTTAGAATAAGTACAAATTGCTGAAACATCTGTGGTTGTTAATGTAATATACTAGTGTTCACCGTTGTCCAAAAGTTAAGAAATAAATCGTCAGTGTTCACAACACAACTTGTTCCTTATCATTTCTGAAACTATATGATTGATTGTATTGAATCAAAGTAACTCACCATCGCATAGATTTAGGTAACACATTTCCAATTAAAATACTACTGTGCAGCCTTTACTTGAACAACATGGATGAAGCTAGCACCAAGATAAAATGGATTTAAGGGTCAGAATCATACAGCTTTCAGAGAGTGCATGATCATTTCTAGTTGGAAGAAGGAGAGCTAACAAAGTTTGACACTACAGTTTTCAGCTGGTCGTGATATGGGTTTTGTTGTCTAATGTGAAATTGAAAGTTTTCACACATTCATAGCACATATTTCTTAAGAGTACTGTTTTCATCAGGTAGGGTATTTTTTCTAATGTGAAGTTATGTTTTACATGAAAGGTGGCTGATTAATTTACGGTTTAAACTTAGCATCTGGCTACTCGCAAGACTAACTGAATGATGAGAGCAGACCTAACAATTGCTTGCTGAACTAAAACTAGTTTGTTCTTGTTTTGTTGTGTCATTTAACTGTGTTATCAATTCACCATTTTCGAGAGACTAATGGGGATTACACTGAAAGAGCTATAATTGGATAAATGCCTAATATATGTCAACAACATCTTAGTTTTGGCTGCACATTTGAGTCTACTATTGAAAACCATAGCAAGATACTTTTGCAAGTAGAAAAAGAAAGGCTTGAATTTAAAACCAGAATATTGTGTGCTCTTGTGTCCAGAGGTGGAATTTGTTGGTAGTGATGGAATCTTTAATGTCCTTTTGGAGGTTGCAATGGTACGATACTGGACTCAACCTGTGATCAAGTGAAAAGTCCAT